ATGCCCTCCTATTGGATAGGAAGCTTGCTTGGCTTGGGCCAATGATGTAGGGGAGGATAGGCTTTATCATGTTCACAATGATTTTTGTGATTGATTTGTAGATGGTGTTACAGAGGCCAATGGGTTTGAAATTTTTTAGCATTGAAGCTTGGGAAAATTTAGGGATTAGACACAGAAGAATTTGGTTCATGGTGCTATCCATGGATCTTGTGGAAAAGCATTTTTTGCAGAAGTTTGTGACAGAGTCCCCTACTATATCCCAATACTTTTGGTAGAAGAAGAGGTGGAGGCCATCTGGGCTAGGAGATTTGAAAGGTTTATTGGAAAAGACTACCCTTTTAATCTCACTTGAAGGGGTCTGTCCATAAAAGCTTTTTGGCTTTGGGACAGGATGGGTTCTATGGTAGAGTGATTAGTAGTTTCCCAAGGGGCTTCAGTGTGGGAAGTTGTGTATAGATCAGTAAAGAAGCCCACAATAGTTGAATGGATGTCTGTTTGGTTATGAAGCCAATTTCCATTCTCTTCTTTAAGGGAAAGGATTCTGTTCCTCCTTCTTCTATTGAGGGTGGATGTATGAAAGAATCTAGTGTTAGCATCACCCTCATTTTGCCAGTTGATCCTAGACTTAAGTTTCCAAAAGTCTTCTTCACATTTGAGGATTAGGTTGAGTTCAGTATTTAGCTTAGTTTCAAGGTTTATCAGGTAACTACTTAATTGGTAGCTAGGAGATTTTTGGATTCCAGAGATTCTAGCCATGAGTCTCTTCTTTTGATGGAAGATGTTTCCAAATACCTCATGGTTCCACTTGGTTACCAGAGTCTTGAAACTTTCAGTAGATTAAAGAAGGGTGGAGTGGTCAGAGAAGGCAATATTGATGATGTTGGGGAAGGAAGGGTGGCTAGCCCACATTGATTCAAACTTGAAGGGCCTTGAAGATTTATTAATTGGAGGCCCTACCAGGTTAATTTGCAAAGGGTAGTGGTCTGAGTGGGTCCTAGGGAGGTGAAGTACAATAGCTTCAGAGTACTGCTCAATCCAACCTTCACTAGCAAAGCACATGCTATTCTTTTCCAAAATTAGAGAGGTTTTGTTATTGTACCTTTTATTAGTCCAAGTGTATTTGCTTCCCTTATAGCCTAGGTCTATTAGGTTACACTTATTTATGTAGTTCCAAAACAGGTTGTTGCGACTCAAGTTTATAGGGTTACCCCTAAATTTGTCCCTGGCCTTTAAAACTTCGTTGAAGTTTTCTCCTATAAACCAATTTGTTTTTATGCTATTTGATTTTGAAATTAGTTGCTCCTATATGAGTTTCCTATTTACTAAGAGATTGCTAGCATAAATAGCAGAAAAGAGCCATGGAGGGTGGTCTGGACTTACCTTCACCATTGCATGGATACCTTGGGGGTAGTTGACACCTCTTCAACAATCACGAACTCTTCTTTCCACATAAACACGATACCCCCAGATGGGCCTACTGCAGGAGACTGGATGATCATATCAAACTAGAGTTGATGGGCTAGGGACTGATGGTCTGCCATCTTCGTTTCAAGCAATACAAGCATGTCAGGCTCGTGCATTTTCACCATTTCTAAACAATACCGTTTGAACTCGGCATTGTTTCCACCCCTAACATTCCATATGATGTAGTTCATCATTGGAGCTGTGGGTGATTGGTGAGTTCCCTCTTGAGGGCTCCTTGGACCTTGCAGGCCCGACATTTGGAGTGGGGAGGACTTCCTCTTTAGACTCAGGATTAGAGTTAGGTTTAGAAGGGGTTTCAATGGACTGTGTGTTTGGCCTGAGACTAGGCTCATTCCATACTTGGTCATTGTTCAAGGGCACAGCACCACTACTATCTCGCTTGTTTCCGTGCTGAACTCTATCGATCTCACTAAGTCCAGGAGAAGTGAGTCCGTCCTTGGTGTGGCATAAGGCATTTCTGGTTCTTCTGAGGCATTCTTCTTCTTGAGTGTCTCCAGAGCTTTGGAGATTCCTTTCTGGATATTCTGAAGAGGTGGTGAGTTGCTCTTCCTTTTTGGAGCAGAAGATGATGGGTTGTTTTGGGTTGGCTGATCGATCATGACGAAGACTGGCTCCACTGCTGGGTCCTCTTTCATCAGATCTGAGAAGAAGGGTAAGGATTGGAAGCCCTGTAGAATATGGTTGTTGAGGGCTTGGGGTTCCATTAACGGGGAGTTGCTGTCGCTGTTGACTATCGATTGCTATATGAGAGATCCAAAGTCTGCCAGTGCCTTGTTCAGTGCTTCCACTGTCACCCTGGCTAGGTGGGCTGGGTTTTGCGCTATCAGTGTCACCCTGTGGTTGGCCAGGGTGAAATCTTAGGAGAGTCCCTGCCCCTACAAGGCAACCTCCAACCAGGAGGCCGATTGGCGGTCCGGTGGTGGTGGTAGTTTGGTGATGGTGGTCGGTGGTGTTTCTTTTGCCATTTTTGTGTTTTTTTGTCTTGCTACTTTGGGTAACAAGAGGTGTGAAGTTAAGGGACTATCTTCCCATTAATAAACCCTTTGGTGTCACATTTTGGATAGTGGAAGGGTTTCTAGGCATTAGAACTNGCACTCAATTGTTGTTGGTAACTGTTGGTATTTCTCCATTAGAGGTCGTTTCAGGAAATTTGGTAGGGAAAGCATAGGTTTGGGTGTTTGGGTGGGGAATTGGGCTGTCAGTGGTGCCCTTAGTTGAGTGCCCGTTTGGGGAAAAGGGGTCGGCCCCATTGGCTGTTTCACCAGGCGTGGTGATTGTGGTCTTGGTAGATGGGCTAGAGGCCCCTTGAAAGCTGGGCTCATGATTGGGATTAGTGCGGTCGTCAGTTGTTGGCCCCGTTTTTCGTGTGGCACCTGTATTGGGTTGTGTCTTTAGGCCTGATTTTTTACCTTTTTGGGCAGATCTTGTGTGCTAGTGTGGTTTTTGTTTGGGCCATTTGGCCTCTTTTGGGTTTTTTCGGTGGTGAATATTTTTTTTGAATTATAACGAAGAGTTTGAGTTTGGAGAAATTTACCTGAATTGGCATCGAACATATTTACCTGTATCTCCTCCGTCTGTGAAGCATGTTGTGGTTTGTTCGATTTACCTTCATTTTTGTTTATTGCTTTTGGTTGTCCCTGCTTACATCTTCTTGGGAAGGTGACAGTTTTCCATTCACTTTCCTCCGAAATGGCTGCTTTCCTTTGATGATCATCCTGTGGTTCGTGGGTTGCTGTGGGTGTTGGTGTCCTATAGTTGCAAATATGTACAGTGTGTCCTATTCTGCCACAAATAGTGCATAGAGTTCCCTTTCATTCATAGATCACAGCCTGCTTATGGTCTCCTATTATTACTGATGTTTTTACTGGGGTTTTCAGAGGAACTTGGATGCAAATACGGGCATATCTTCCCAGAGGATGTATATTGGTCTATCTTGAGAAGTTTGCCCAGCTTCCTCCCAACTTTCTCCAAGATATCCTGGTCATGGAACTCTGTTGGTAATTGGGGTAATCGGATCCAAATGGCAGTAGAAGTAAGTATGGCTTCTTGGGGAACAAACTTTGGTTCCCATTTACGTACGGATAGGAAGTTTCCAGAAATGAACCAAGGTCCTAGGTGTAGAGCCTTAACCATGCTTTCTTCTAAACTAAATTTTACTATGTAGAAGTCTCACCCTAGGTCAATCAAGATTAATTGTTCGGATGGCTTCCATAGGTCGTTTAGCTTAGATCGAAGGAGATGGAGAGGCATCTTTAGCTTGAACACTTTGATAATCACCGAGTAGCGTCATGGGAGGTAAAGACGCTCTTTCCATCTTGTGAGAGGGGAATTGAGCCCTCAATGTGCTTCCCTTTGTCCAGATCTGTAATTGGTTGGTGATCTATTTCGTAGTTTGTTTGGTTGCTCGCTGGTTTGTCCAAGAGCATTTCCTTATAGGAGTGATGAGGCATTTCTACCTCCATTTGGCTATATTTATCCGGGGGTTTTGGTGGGAGTGGTGGCTTAATCGGAGGGGGATCCATGGTGTGGAAAGGTACTTCCAAGCTGAAGTTGGTAGAGAGCGTTTTTGACGCACGATAGAGAGATCTGGACACACCCTTGTGGTCAAAATTACCGAGACAGCACATTACTACTAACTAACTAGGTAACTAGAGTATATTACTTTTTCGGTGAATAGTTAAATGTGCTTAGATAACATATTGCTGAAATTATTTTATTAAAATATGAGTACTATAATTAAAATAGTTGAGATATACTATTCAATCGAAAATCAAAATAAATTTGCGTCAATTCTAAATTTTTTTAAGGATCGGACAAGCAAATTAGTTTAACTTTTTAATAATTGTAGATGCATGCAATTGAACCTATCACTTGAAAATGTTAGCTAAAAGATTAAAAAACCACACAAATGTACTACTTATAAGATAACGGAAATGGAGAAATTATATTTTTATACGTAAAAGCATAATTTAATCACATATAACTTATGATTTAGAAATGACAAAGCTACAATGAAAAGGACATAAAAAAAAAGTGAAAAATGCTAATAGTGCTCCTGATGTATATCATATACCTGGTGCTGGTTGTTTATTTGTTGTGCCAAATAAGCATGTGTCGTGGCGAGAATATAAGATAATAGATACTACCCTTCGACTGTCAAATATCCGAACAAAATATTAGGAAGTTACAATATTCTATTTTGGATGTTTCAATATGGCACATAAATGTGAACATGCAATCATGTAGAGCTTTATCTAATCTAAAGCAATTTCCAAAACATTTGTTATTTGATCTAAGGAATGTCTAAAGCAATCACGTAGAGCTTTATCTAAACTCTAAAGCAATTTTCAGTGGGCTGAGATTCATTATAATATAAAGGACAATTTTTTTTACAATAATAATTTCCAAGTTCGGCAATTGGGCCCGGGCTAATACTAACTAGTGTTAAAAGATGTAAGAGACTCGTTCTAGTAAATCAAATGTGTATGCTTGTAAGAGTGCTCAAATTTTATACTAAAGCTTTAGGGGTTAAAACGAGTTTGAGCTTAATTTCATGGTCACAAGTCACAACTAACAATTATAACTCTGAGAGTAAAGTCAAAAGTCAAATTAAAAAGGTCCCCCAAACCGACCCGTTAACTTCTGATCATAATAGAGACTCCGCAAAGGAGAGAGAGAGAGAGAGAGAGAGAGAGAGAGAGAGAGATGGGTCTGATCTACGCAGCAGTGTTGTGCTTCCTTGTTGGAGTTTACGGTGCAAGAGCAGAGCAGTTGAGCACAAAAGAGTGTGAAAATCTGGGGTTTTCGGGTCTAGCTCTGTGCTCCGATTGTAGAACTCTTGTTGAGTATGTTAAAGATCAAGGTTCTTTCTCCTATCCTTTATTCTCTCTACCTCTGCACCTAATATGCACATATTTTCATTTTTCACTCCTTGTAATTTATGTATTTTTTAATTAATACTTTTGGGTACAAACATAAATCCATAAAAAAGGTATTGAGGGAAAGTATTGACCTTAACATTGTATTCAATGCGGCTGAAGATGAGCTTGGATCTGTAGGTGTTTATGGCCTGATGTTTAGTTCAAATGAGAGAATTAGGTTGGAGGAGATGGGTCCAGAAGGGGGATGATTTAAGGTTAAGGCAAACAAGGAGTATAAATTAGTCTATCCAGCGCTGATTAGCTTGCTGAACGGGTGTGAATTGGGGAAAAAGTTTGGTGATTGCACTATAATTGAAAGAGAACAGGGAATTGGAGGAGTTGGATAGAAGGGCCTAGGCACTAAATCCAAGTCATGTTGTCTTCCCTATATTGAGAACCTAATAATCGGTGGGGGACTAAGTAGAAGGAAGGGGGTTTCAGGGTTCAACTGAAACCCCTTTGTCGGAAAATTACTGCACCAATAGGGTAAAAATGAATTCTTTTTATTATATGTAAACTGTTTAATCCCTTTGGCATGAAAAAAAATTCTAGCATAGTGGTAAAGGGGCGCAAAGTTGTTGTAAGTCCAAAGTTCAAATTCCAGCTGTCACATCATACAACTCTTTGAATCCCCTTATATAAATTCCTGGCTTCGCCACTACTCATAATGGAGGACAGGTGGCAACGAGCCATATACAACTCCAGAATCATTCTTTTGATAAGCTACAGGGTAAGAATTCTTGACCAGGTAATAGCACTAAGGAAAAATCTCTCGTCCATATTGTGGTAGCCCATCCAAAACAACTTTTACATTCATGCTTAGTCGGCTCTTTTTTCAGGCACAACAACAACAACCCAGTAAAATTTCACTAGTGGGGTCTGGAAAGGGTAGAGTGTACGCAGACCTTACCCCTATCCCAAGGGGTAGAGAGTTTGTTTCCGATAGACCCTCGGCTCAAGGAGACGAAAAAAACAACATATCCGTACCATCAACAGAAACCATAGAAATAATAACAGCATCACGAGTACAAGAAGATAGATGAAAAGCAATAACAATAACACGTAGAAAAGCTCGGTACTATGAAAAGTGGAAGAAAAGTGCAGACACAACAATAACCACTAGCAGTCTAGGACACAACCCTATTAGACTAGCCTCTCACCCTAATGCTCCTTTTCCAGGCGCAAAAAATGGAAATGACATTCCATAGTTGCTTTAACTCATCCAAGACAAAAATTTATCCCACATCTGTGGATAACTAAGATTTGTTGTTTATGCACTAAGCAACCGAATGCATGATACTTGACTTTCAATCCTAGCTCTGTTTAGACTTGTTCTAACCTGGGAAAGAAGCAGCAATGGACCGATATCCACAGTCCTATCTAGAGCCCTAATTAATGATAAACCTCTGCACAAAACCTATCAGTGTGGGCTAAATAAACCTTTATGTTATTGATATTGAAGAGTTGAAGGATAGCTACAACACATAGTAAACCTGTAGTAGTTTTTAGTGCATCATTCTCCCTGGTTGGTGGGATTTTGATAGAGATTGAAGTGTTCAAGGGGAAGACAATATAAGTATTAAACTGACATACTGATACAAAAGCTTTATGGAACTTTGATGAAAAACATTTGGAAGGTAGTGGGAAATAGCAGCTTATTTGCTTATCGTTGGTCTTACAAATTCACAAATTTGTGCTTCTATGACGCAAGCCTTTTCAAGTGTGTGTGTGTATATATATCCTAGGTGGTCCAAGTCCTTCACATTCGCTACCTCTATATCTTTGCCCTCATCCTTATACTGCAAAAAGAAAATATCTTACTTTCTGAGAAAATGGTGAAACCTCTAGAAAAATCGGGAGGTTTCGTTTGCTGAGCGTAATATGAGAGGATTATATGGGTATGTAAAAGGTCGTGCAATGTCAGTCATCCATGTCTAATTGTGATTGGAAATGTTTGAACTTATCAACTTTTGACAGACATGTTCTGTATTTTAAGAATGACTTCAGTGTATATGATAGAACTCCACTATATTTGACTAATTATTGTTGATTTATGGAGAAAAGGACCATACATAGTTAGAAACAACAACTTTATCAATGAAAAAGAAAAAGAATAGTGTGATAGAAAGTAGAAACAATGGCATTAATGCAAAAAATTGACCAATAAAATAACTGATAGGTTCATAGAAACCATGCTCCATATTTTGATGCAGGAGCAATTTCCATTTTATTGGTTGTTCCGTGTTTTGTGGATTATTAGGAATTAAGAACAAAAAAATAAACTGCTCGTTTATCAGTGTTTTCTGTCATGTTTTTCTAGTTTAATTTCCATATGAGTGTTGACAGTATGGTTATATCTTGCTAAATAGTATTGATTATATATTGTTTACAGAGTTGGTTTCTGAATGCTTGAGCTGTTGCACAGAAGACTCTGATGATGCCATGAGTAAGGTACAGATGCGACCAAGATCATTTTTTGGCAGCATTAATTTAGGGTTGTATTTAGAGTTTTGAAGGCTCTCCTCTGGTTTCCTGTCACTAGTTTTGCCCAATTTTTTGTTTGAAAATTTTGGCTTCCATGCATACATTGTAGAGATAAGATGGACTTATGTTAGCACCCAGAAAATAATCAAATTAAAATAGAGGCAAGACTAAGACACAAAAGAGGCACTTATCTGCCCCTCCTTGGACGTGCATCCATCCATTTTTTTCTTTGTCTTAGCTTGTTTTGGGAAAATTGAAAATATTACCTTTTTGGTTTCTATACTTGGCTCACAATCCCCAAGTGCTTAGGAAATGAATAAAGCTATTAAAAAATGAGAAGCGGACGACTCATTCTTCTTTTTACAAACACCTTGACCAAAAAGTTATTGGGAGGTCGAGGGAGAAAATAAGATGTCCAAAAATCACTTTGGAGAACGCTGTTTTCTTTCGTTCTTTCCTTCTTTTTGCATCCCTTTCTCTTGCTTGGGGGTTTGTGGAATTCCTAAAGATTCTAATACTATCTACAGCTGTTGCGCAAGTACATTACATGCTATCTGTCATGGGCGGCTTTCCAGCCGTGCCCCATGACCCCTTGGGCGCGCCCCGTGGCGTCCTAGCAAGCCTTCCAATGCCTAGCGCCACGGACGGCCCCGTGGTCTTGGCCGCGCCAAGTGACAAGCGCGCCTGTGCCTCTGTCGCCCCACCGATATCCCTCGCCAGCACCCAACCGCAGGCAGATGCCAATAGCGCCGCGCGCGCAGACAACGCGGCGCGCGCAGACCCTGATGCCAAAGACTATGCTGCTGACAACGGACCTGTTTTCTGCCTTATAGCAAACTAAGTCTTTTTCATTGTAAATATAGAGTAGTTTTATTCCATGTACTTCCATTATGTTTCTCTAGCTTAATCAAGTCTAGTCTTGTAGCTTTGGATTATTTTTTTTAAGCATTATTAAGGGGGACCAAACAATCAAAACTTTCTAGCAAGCAAACAATTCTCTGTACTGGTGTCTCTCCCCCTCGACACCGCGTTGCCTTTCTGTAATAGCTTTCATTAATGCAATCAAGCTTTCTTTCATTCTCAATTCTCATTCCTGTTCTCTCAATTTCTCTTGACATTGGTTTTCCCGTACGGCACTGACAATCTAGTCTAGCGTACGGAGGGGACCTCAGTTGGCGGACAGCAACTGCACTGACATCAGTTGCTTAGCCTTACGTCGCCCTTCCAAGGAATCTCAGGAAGGCGCCGCGTAACAGTTGGTATCAGAGCCTAGGCTCGACATCGGACGAGGGAACGCATTGCCATTACCACCATTTCTGACCATGGTGAATCATGGGGACCGCATTGCGGCCCTTGAACAGACGGTTGACGGATTACTGCCCATCATGGATACGATGCCTGAACTAAGAACCAGCCTAGGGCAAAGGTTGGATGACCTGGACCGCAGGGTGCTCCAGGCCGAAGTTGACATAGAAAACATCAGTCATGACTCCGAGGGAGATAGGCAAACGGCAGCCACAGAGGCAGCCGAAATTTTTGGCAAATTCGAGGGACTCCAACAGGAGCGTGCCGAGGATTTAGCTTACAGGGCACAAGAGGCAGACAGGGTGACTGTCATGCTGTACTATTGACGACTTGACAGACAAGCTCAATGTTGTCAATGCTGCTTTACAGGGCCTGCTGCGAGGCGGTGGAAACCAGATCGGGGGCGCTGCAAACCCCACTTCCGCGACACAAAAACTGAAAATTCCTGAGCCAAAGCCATACAGTGGAGCTAGGAATGCCAAGGAAGTGGAGAACTTCATCTTTGATGTCGAACAATATTTCGATGCTGTTGGGGGCCTAGAAGAAGCTAAGAAGGTAGCAACTGCTGCCATGTATCTTCAGGGTGATGCTAAACTCTGGTGGCGGGTGAAATACGAAGCCATCAAGGCCGGTGAAGATGCTCTCGAAACATGGGCAGAACTGAAGGCAGCCATCCGCCTACAGTTCTTCCCCGAAAATGTCGAATACAATTCAAGGAGAAAGCTACGGGAGCTCCGCCAGACCAAATCTGTGCAGGACTACGTGCGGGAATTCTCCGCGCTCATGCTAAGCATACGCGACATGGGGGACAAAGACAAGCTCTTCACTTTCCTAGAAGGGCTGAAACCTTATGCCCGTATGGAGCTACAAAGACAACGGGTAGATACCCTGCCCAAGGCGATCCAAGCAGCTGAATGCCTTGGGGACTATCAAATGGAAGCTCGGAAGGATAGGCCTCAGCCGCCTACCCGAGCGGGATTCAAAGGGGGCCAGTCTAGCAATGGTGGCCCTAGCAGAAGTGGGGGAGATCGG